TGATGAAATTACAGTTCAAGAATATATAATTGGCTTAGAGAAAAAATATAACTGGTGACAAACTTAAAATTAGTACAGTACTCAGATATTTATTGATCTTAATAGTTCCATTCAAATTCTCAGAATTCATCATCTAAATAAACAAAATGGCAGTTTGTATAATATAAAGATGACCATGCCATTCCCATGACCTTGCTTTTTCTTGAAAACAGAGCAGAACACTTGTTTCTTTAAAAATTATTGACCAAAGTTTACAGGTAAGGTAAAACATAGGTAATAACAATAGAAATGTTTACATTAATGATTTTCACAAACTAATTATTACATTATTGTTCATAACTGGCTTTTGTTATGTTAAAGCAAATTATTTTACAAATACATATTTTAAAAGCACTGCAAAAATGTTCAATATACAAAAAACAAATACATGTATTAAGAAACAATATAAATTCACATACTGTCTTTCCTTTTTTTTTTATATCAATAACATTATAAATGTGACAGCTTCTTATCAATATAAATGGTTAACTTGAAAACTGTCAATATAAATGTATTTAAGAAAATATGAGAAAGGAAGTCACAGTCAAAGCAAAATAAGAATTCAATTTCAAATTATTCAAACAATTTCAAATTATTTTCCGTATTTTAACTGATGTATATTGTTGATTAAGCAAATCAGATTTATTGTAACAATCTAGAGACAGGAGGCTTGATATTAAATTGTGTTAGTGGTTGGAATATCTTTTTGTCCAATAGGATTGCAGTATTTCAAATGAAAGAGAAACACATTTACTTTGGAAAATCGACAAACTACAAATCAGTCTAGTAAATTCACAGCTCATGTTTATTAGAAAGTATTTACCAAATTAAATTGGTAGAACGGCTGCACCATTCTTGATCAGTATAATTTTTTAAATATTAAATAATAAACACTAATGAACACTAAATAAAATGCTTTAAGTATTAAAGGGAGACACAGGCAAAATTTTCATTTCTTAGTTTTGAATTTTTCATTCATTATTCTGTAAATGTCCTCAAAATAAATACACTAAACAGTCAAAGGAACAAAACTTTTCTCCATATAAAGAATAAAATGGTGTTTTCCTAACTTGACCCGCGTGGGTCAGGTTAGAGCACAAAGATTTCACAATAGTTGTCACTGTGTACTCTGGAAACGTTAAAGAACATGTCAAATCAATTACTTAGACTTATTTCAATTATACAATATCCACAACACCTGTTATTGTAACTTCAAGGGTTTGTTCAAATCACATGACTTGTTTTTTAACTATTCGGTGATTCTGTTGGCGTCTAAATTTTGTTCAACATATATAATTATTTTCAAGCTTCAAACCCAAAATATATAAAATTTATACAGAAATTCATGCTGGGACTTTAAGAAATGTCATTTTAGGGTGATTTGAGTACAGAAGATAATTTTTATATTTTTGTCATTATTTTGCCTGAGTATCCCTTTAAAGCTGGTATGTTTTGTTTATGTGAACAAAGACTGAATACTTTTTCAAAAACTATGATAATAAATTAAGACAAGATATATATTAAAATGTCACATGTGTTTGGCACAAAAAGTGGAAAACAACCATACCCTGCAAATGGTTATAGAAAAACAGTAACACATACCCACCTAACAGCAACCTAAATACATGCTGTATATTCTATATCAGCTAATTATGCTAACAAAATAAAACACAAAAATGCACGAATATATACCCTGTTAACAACAACACTAAAATAACCATTGGTGCAATTCTACTACTTACTTATTAAATACAGGTTCTTTATATAAATCTACACAAGCTTCCCACTTATGTTGTTTTGTTGATTTTTCATTAATTACTTCTTTTTTCATGTATTAACTGACCTCAGATTGTTCAATAAAAATATCACAGATGAAATACCTCTTGGTGATTATTTCTTATCTAGTTGTTTGTTGTTGTTTTTTTTTTTTTTAATTTAAACCATTTTAAACACCAATAATAGTGGCATTTTTAAATATTCAATCATAAAACAATTGAGAAAACTGCTGGTTTTTTTTTTTTTTGCAAATGGTCTTTACCAGTTAAACATTTCTTTTTATTTGTTTTCCCAACAAAACATCTGTCTAACAACCATGATTGTTTTATGAAGTATAGCAGGCTCACTAATGTTAGATTTCTATATTATTTTTTCTTCTGGAAGACAAATATCCAGTGATGTCTCAAGCTAAGCATGATTGCATCCTGGTAAAGTGAGCTAATAACAAAAACTAATTAACCCTAAGCTTGCTTGTGGCAACTTATTCTTCTTATTCACTCAGTACATATTTTGAAAATTTCCCTCCAAACTTGGCCAGAATGAAAGATGGACAAGTACATTTCAGCTGCACCATGACAAAACCAACATAGTGCGTTTGCAACCATCATGAATCCAGACCAGACTGCGCATCTGCACAGTCTGGTCTGGATTCATGATGTCAATATCAGTTTCATTACTTGAAATATGGTTTGTAAGCGAACAGCATGGATCCTGATCAGACTGCACAGATGCGCGGATTAGTCTGGATCCACACTGGTGGCAAACACACTACGTTGGTTTTGTCATGGCTTGGCACATTTAAGATATTTAGCAGGTTAAGGGTTAAAACTAAACTAAAATTACAACATATGTACATGATACACTATTAACACAACTGTTTGGCACAAGTATTAAATTCAAAATTCAATACACAAATTATCTAAAAAACTATGATGATTATAGTAGTTGTCTGAAATTCCACTTGTAAACTTTTACTTTCCCTGATCACATGGCAAAAACGGATTGTACTCATTCACCAAACTGGTTCTATGTTACCAGTATTTCCTTTATTTGTCTTCATGAAGGAAAGGCAAAAAAGGTAAAACAGTGCTTAAGCTAGTATGCCTCAGGTGAGTAAAATAAATCTTCAAAAATTCAAACTTATGATAAAGTATGTTTTATGGTTAAGAAATGTATAGTGTATATATACCCACAATGCAACTGAAACTTTGAATGTATTATTTAAATAAGAAAAAGTTCACTATTTTTTTTCCATCAAAATTCTACCTTTTTATTAACAGAGTAAGAGAATTGTTTGCATATTTTGACAAGTTATATCCAGCTATTTATTTACTTTTTCATTTACGTCTCTGTTTTGTTTTGTTATGATTTAATCATAACAAAACAATTATAACCATTGCCAATCTGTCTGATATACATGATCAAAAATGGGATAAAACAGGAAATTTATCTAAGCACTGTTAAGAAAAATCCTGGCAATAGACTTTCATATAAGATCCATATTCTTAAATTTATATGTCTTTATTTGAAATCAAGGATAATCACTTTATCTGTACAGTTGAAAACATTTTATTACACATTAGAACAGTTTTTTTTTTGTTTATATAAAAACTGACACAAAGCTGGAAATAATTTTTGTATTACTTGAGATGCCAAAATCTTGTTATATGAGATGTTGTTTGATGATAAGGAATAATCAAAGTTTAAAGCAAATCCTTTTAAGTAGTAATTAGATAATCAAGCAGCTAAATAAACATAACAACACATAAACATAATTATAAATATATTATAAAATCCGGACAAGAATGCTGATGTTGGGTGATTGGCACCTCTCTCACTAATACTTCATATAGTCAAGATAAAATATTTAGTTATTCAATTATTGGCACAAAAATGAAATAATATTATAAATTTACTGCACTGAAATCTAAAACCGACTAGCATTGAATAAGGTAAAATATGAGTGTAAAAATTATTCCACTAACATATCATACATTAAACCAGTTAAAAAAAAACCCAACAAATTAACAAAAACAACCTGATATATTGTACATAACATATAACATTTAACTTAAGTTAACATGGTGTAAAGTTGTCAATCTAAAATTGAGATTAAAATGGTATAACATAACAAAAATATACATGCTAAAAAAGTTTCATAGCTTGACATTGATTGTACATCTACAACTCTGAAGGTAAAATGGGATAATATTTCTCAAAACAATGACTAGAATAAACAACTTTTAGAGACAACATAAATGGGACTTAAAAATACAAATAAAATTATTTTGTAAACATATTAGAAAGCTATTTTTCAATTAAATTGAAAACTGAGTAAACAATGAAAATGACTAGAACTCTAGCAAAATGCAATAAAAAATATTTATAAAACAAACTACTGCTATGTAAAATAAAAGAAGCATGCATCATATAAAGGTATAAAAGCACTATCTACTATACAAAATGTCAAAGATTACAACAAAGCATTAAATTTTGGCATTATTTATGTAATACATTTCCTTTATCTCTATACACTTGAATTTAAAGAACTATCTATTAATTGTAAATTGAACCCCTGTATAGTATCCTCGGTTTCTAGCCCTTTGCCCTGCTGGATTTGAAAATGATCAAACCTTGGTCACCAGTATAGAGCCATGGTCACCAGTATAGAGCCAGGCCAGCCTGCACATCCATACAACCTGGCCACACTCTATATTGTTGTTAGCTCATTTTATGTATTTTGATATTGAAATCCCTTAAAAACATTATGAACTGTTCCAAATTCAAAAGCAGGGCAAATCCATTTAACACATTCAGGAGGTAAAAGGCTAGTCATTGTATAAAAAACAATAATTAGCAAAATAACAATGCAAAAGTAACAATGCAAAAAGGTTACCCAAACTACATATACTGCTAAGGAACTAAAATCAGTAAGTGAAAATAAGTAAATATGTTCATACCTTAATATATTTGAAACATGATAAACTGTCAATTTCTGTTATCAAATGCAAACTGGAGAAAAACATTGCGAAATATTTTTTTGTAAAAATTTGGAAAACGATAATATATTGTACATAAAAATGTACTATATCTACATTGCATATACATGTAGCTACATTTAAATCTTGCATCCCAATCCTTATATGGAATGGATCTCAATTATAAAATTTTCTTCCTTTTTTAAAAATTTTACAAAAAATCAGCAACACGTGACTTTAGTTAAAAAATCTTAATACTTTTGCTATCAACAAGTATATTATTTACAACCATGATGATTGCCCAGGGTTTGTTATAACATTCATAACAAGAAATTTCAATACTGTAGCAAAAATTCAGTTAAACTAATTTTTTTTTTTATATGGCATAAACATATAAAAATGTTCATTGCCAATACACAACTGTGTACATTACAGTTTCAGCAACTAAAAATTAAAGCTACTCATTAAGTTAACCTATCTATTAGGGTTCTCATTCCAACAATTTAGTGAAAATTCAAGTCATAATAAAAATAGCCCTTGAAAATAAACCTCACATAATTGACAAAAAGCATTTGTAAAACTTAAGTATCACAAAAATGTTGTCCTCAGAACTTGAAACATTGTGAGCATGAACTGATCGTCTTTGTGTTGCTGGAAATATTCATGGGTGAGTCGTCAGGGGCCAGTCGTCCCTTCTCCCTAGCCTCTGCTGTTAATTTCATGGCAATGTCAAGAAACAATTTATCAACATTGTCCGCCTCTTTAGCAGAGGTTTCTATGAATTTCATTTCATATCTATCAGAAAACTCCTGACCTATATGAGTGGGAATCTCCCTAGCATCTCCACGATCTATCTTGTTACCTATAAATATACAAAATGTAAATCTTCAATAAGGTGAAAACTATTATAGTCAATGATATATTGAACTATGACTGAGGTAAAACAATATATATCTGTCACTGCATTGCCATTTGGCAAACATAATTTTCAATTTAAATATTATGCTACATTCAATGCTCAGCTATATTAACCAAATAATTATAAAATAGAAACTAAAATATCTGAGATAATAAAATACTAAAAGAAAGTATTTCTTAGGCAGCAAAAAAACCAAGAGCTGTCAGTAAGACAGCTTGCTCGACTACTATAAGTACTTCATAGAAGTTAGGATAATGGTCACTAACAAGTATACAAAGTTTTAAAGCAATACCTTAAAGGATATAAGAAATAAGTTTGGTTGTTAACCCTTTCCCTCATGAGCATATTGTGAAAAATGGCCATTTTCACCAAAAAGCCTCCTGTTTACAAGTTCAAACTGCTATGAAACTATGAAAAATGTTTCAATACTAATCAAACTTGGCACAAATGTTGACTGGACCATTGCCTTTGTAACGATTAAATTTCCTGTTACCATGGCAACGAGGGGATATCTCAAAATTGTCAAAAATCACTATTTTGCCTTGATTTTTTCCATCAAAATTTATTTCAAAGTGCTGCAACTTCTCAAGGGATTGAAATAGAGTCAAAGGCTTTTCAGTGTTGGTTACACGTTGCCTTATGATCGGCCTGGGGTCATTTTTAGCCTCTCACAAGTCCAAAATTTTCTTGGTAATGAGGGGGACTACCGCCCCCCCTTCAAACCCCCCAAACAGAAGGGGGTACAGCCCCCTTCTGGCAACAACCCCCTGATGTATCCTTTGGCCCCGGTGCCGAAAAAGTGCTCACTTTTTTTAGCAACGTGCTTTGGCCCCAAATAGGACATTTTTTCACTATTTGAGGCCTAAAAGAGGGGGGGGGGGGGGGGGGGGGTGGGGGGGTCGAAAGTGCGTTGTTTCGCGTATATATGTGGTAAAGGGTTAAAAAAAGAAGAATGTACTTCTAAGTAAAAAGGGGCATAAATTTGTCATAATCCATGAGTTATGTCCTACTGCAATGTGCACAATGGTCACTCACTACCAAGTATTTAATGTTTTAAAGCAATACTTTAAGAGGTATAGGAAATAAGTGGGGTGGTAGGAAAGAGCGGAAGAATGACGCTGACGCAGGGTGAGTAGGATAGCTCTCTCTATCTAAAAAGTATTTTAATCCATACAAGACTACAACAATAAAGGAACTAGAAATGTGTCATCATGCCACGGATGCCCCCGCATGCAGCCAAAATTTCAAATGTTATAATATTTAGTTCCAAATTTGTTTGCACAAATTATTTTTTTCATTCTAAGTTCAAAGCCCTTAAAACTTTTCAATGTTAACACAAACCATTTTTATACAATGTTCAAGGCACTGAAATTATTCAGTCTTAACCTTTTGAAAATAGCATATTGCATATTTGTAGCCAAAATAATGGCTATATACATTTCCACAAAAGTATGTGTGCTGAAACTGAAAGTTTTTTTTCCCAACCTTCAGGAAAGATAAGTTTGTCCAAAATCATTGAACGACGACCAAATTCAAACTTAAACTGCATATTCCTAAGATGTATCTATATAATTTTCAAAGTGAAAGGGACATAACTCTGCCAAAAAAAATCATCGAACCATGACCAAATTCAAACTTGACCTGCGCATTCCTTTGACATATCCATATGTCAATTTTGAGTTGAACATGTAACACTGTTGGGTTGATAATGAACAGAAACTGTAAATTTCATATCACTTTCAAAGAGAAAGGGGCATTACTCTGCCAAAAATCATTGAACCATGACCAAATTCGAACTTGGCCTGTGCATTCCAAAAACATATCCATATGTCAAATTTGAGTTGAATGTGTAATACTGTTGGGGAGATAATAAACGGAAACCGAAAATTTCATATTATTTTTAAAGTGAAAGGGACATAACTCTGCCAAAATCATCAAACCATGACCAAATTCGACCTTGACCTGTATTTTCTCATGACATATCCATATGTCAAGTTTGAGTTGAATTTGTTGTACCATTGGGGAGATAATGAACGGAAACTGAAATTTCATATTATTTTTAAAGTGAAAGGGGCATAACTCTGCCAAAAATCATCGAACCATGACCAAATTTGAACTTGACCTGTGCATTCCTTTGACATATCCATATGTCAAGTTTGAGTTGAATGTGTTGTACCATTAGGAATTAATGAACGGAAACTGAAAATTTCATATTATTTTCAAAGTAAAAGGGGCATAACTCTGCCAAAAATCATCGAACCATGACCAAATTCGAACTTGACCTGTATTTTCTCATGACATATCCATATATCAAGTTTGAGTTGAATGTGTTGTACCGTTGGGGAGATAATAAACGGAAACTGAAAATTTCATATTATTTTCAAAGTAAAAGGGGCATAACTCTGCTAAAAATCATTGAACCATGACCAATTTCGATCTTGACCTGTATTTTCTCATGACATATCTATATGTCAAATTTGAGTTCAATATGTGCAACGGTTATAAAGATAATGAACGGAAACTGATGATGACGGAAGGACGGAATGACGGAACAGGGTAACACTATATGCCCCTGCCATTATATGGCGGGGGCATAATAAAAATTATAAGACTTCTTTCCTAATGCTCACTTGTATATTTTGATAACAATTAACAGTCTCATATCATTTCATCCAGACCAGTACCATTATGGACTTTTACTTAGGTATTTTAAATGATGCATAGACATTTACACAGAAAGCTATCTTGAAAAACTCAACAGTAAAATACACACCAACTAGATAGGAAAGAACTTTTTCGTTAGCGAATGATTCAATATCAGTGATCCACTGTGGAAGAGCATCAAAAGTGTTCTGTGAGCAGACGTCATACACCAGAATGAGGCCATGAGCAGCTCTATAATAACTTTGAGTAATTGAGCGAAACTTTTCCTGGCCCGCAGTATCCCATATCTGTAGCTGAAATCATATCAACTTACATAAACAACACAAGATATTAGAATTAGATATCTGTCTGAACAAACATCCTGTAATATTAATACTTTAATATCAGATTCTTCAGATGACATTATTTGCAGAAAAAACAAAGCAAAAAAGAAAGATAAAGAACATGTTCTATGTGTAGAACTACTATTCAATGGAATCAATTTCTATGTATAAATAAACCTGTTACAGACATTATGATCAGTATTAGTAATTCAATATACATAATGTACAATGAATTAACTGTATTTCATAACAGTTTTTAACACGTCATAAAATTAAGTGTCATGTCTAAGAGCATTCAAGCAGATGATAACAAGAATTGGGACTGAATCTCGTGTTCTTAAGAGTGGATGAGCACGGATTCTGGATCGTGTAAACATTGACATAAAGAAGAGAAAATTCCGTTTTTGTAAAAAATTGTCTTTGAAGAGGGGTGGTTTTAATTCTGTGGTGGACTTAAGAAGGGATTCTACTCATACTGTACTTATTTTGTATTTAAACTTGGAAATTATATTCATCTCAGCAGGCTGAGCTTTGTGACAATTAAAGTTGTCTATTAAACAAATATGTTCTCCAACAAATTGCCAGACTTGTAACTAACCTTGACATTACAAACAAGAGGGCCATGATGGCCCTAGATCGCTCACCTGACCCATCAAACTCAGCAAAACAATTACCTAGACAAGCATTCTGACCAAGTCTCATGACAGGTGAGTCAAAAATGTGACCACTACAGTGTTAACAAGGATTATCCATATTTGAGCAGTGTGACCTAGTTTTTTACCCAGGTGACCCATATTCAAACTTGACCTAGAAATCATCAAAACAAACTTTCAGACCAATTTCCAGGATACTTGGATCAAAACAGTAGCAACTAGAGTGTTAACAAGATTTTTCTATTTTTAGCTCCGGTGACCTAGTTTCACATGCGATTTCGAACTCATCCGAGCAATTACCTAGACAAGCATCCTGACCAAGTTTGATGATAATTGAGTCGAAAATGTGACCACTAGAATGTTAACAAGGTTTTTCCATATTTGGGCGGTGTGACCTAGTTTTTCATCCAAGATGACCCATGTTCGGACTTGACTTAGAAATCATCAAAACAAACTTTCAGACCAATTTACAGGATATTTGGATCAAAACAGTAGCCACTAGAGTGTTAACAAGATTTTTCTATTTTTAGCTCCTGTGACCTAGTTTTTCATCCGAGATGACCAATGTTCGAACTCATCCAAGCTATCAACTAGACAAACATCCTGACCAAGTTTGATGATGATTGAGGCAAAAATGTGACTGCTGGAGTGTTAACAAGGTTTTTCTATTTTTAGCTCCGGTGACCTAGTTTTTCATCTGAGATGACCCATGTTTGAACTCATGCAAGCTATCACCTAGACAAGCATCCTGACCAAGTTTGATGATGATTGAGGAAAAAATGTGACCCCTAGTGTGTTAACAAAGTTTTTCTATTTTTAGCTCCGGTGACCTACTTTTTCACCCAAGATGACCCATGTTCGAACTCATCGGAGCTATCACCTAGACAAGCATCCTGACCAAGTTTGATGATGATTGAGGCAAAAATGTGACCTCAAGAGTGTTAACAAGGTTTTTCTTTTTTTAGCTCAGGTGACCTAATTTTTCATCCAGGATTACCCATGTTCGAACTCATCCAAGCTATCACCTAGACAAGCATCTTGACCAAGTTTGATGATGATTGATGCAAAAATGTGACCTCTAGAGTGTTAACAAGGTTTTTCTATTTTTAGCTCCAGTGACCTACTTTTTCATCCGAGATGACCCATGTTCTAACTCATCCGAGCTATCACCTAGACAAACATCCTGACCAAGTTTGATGATGATTGAGGCAAAAATGTGACCTCTAGAGTGTTAACAAGGTTTTTCTATTTTTAGCTCTTGTGACCTAGTTTTTCATCCGAGAAAACCCATGTTCGAACTCATCCGAGCTATCAACTAGATAAGCATCCGGACCAAGTTTGATGATGATTGAGGCAAAAATGCGACCGCTAGAGTGTTAACAACAAAATGTGAACGGACGACGGCCGACGGACGACGGACAATCATCGATCCTAAAAGCTCACCCTGAGCATGCTCAGGTGAGCTAAAAAGTTATAAGACATATGTGTATATGTATGTACTTTTCTATATATTGGGTCCAGGGATCAGGTAATTCTTTTAACATCTGATAAATCATGACAGTTATTATTAATTAAAATCACATGTTTTTGTGCATTGACTCAAAAGATAAAAAGTACAAATTGTCAGAGGCATAGCTTGGTTTAAATCTATATGTAGGCCAAAATCTGGGGAGGCGCTTCCGAAGGCATGAACCACCCAAGATATTATGTTCTCTGGATTGTCAGCTGTATGTTTTGGTGTATATCAAGTATAATACCGGTAACTATGTTCAGGGGATTATTAGAATTTGCAGGTTAGACAAAATATGACTTATTTTGTTTCACTTTCTTGGAAAAATGTGCAAGCCATAGCCATGTCCTACATGGCCTTTAGAAACCAAGCCACTGACTGTGGCTACAATTCTATGCTACCTACTGCATAACATTTAACATTTGTTAAATATTCCTTAAAAGAATAAACCTACCTTTACTTTATCACCTTCAATCTCGACAGTTTTAATCATGAAATCTACACCTATAGTTGCTGCTTGGCCCGGGGGAAATAATCCCTGAAATATATTTTTATATTTTAACAGAGTATTTTCTGGAGTACATGATATGTTTACAAATAATATCCTTACATTAACTGTTGTTAAATACAGGTAAAGAGCTCAAGTACATTTTATGATTCTTGTTTTCTCTTAACAAAAAGGCATAATAAATAAACTTTTTGAGTTGCTTCTTAGAAGGAGGTTGAATTCTGCTAATACTTGCCAATGGCAGAAATATGGTTTCAAATAATACTTTCATAATCCTTATACTTTGCACAGGCAAGTAAAGAGTGATATTCTGTTTCAAATAAGTTCATTGAACAACAAATTCACTCCTGCTCATTTATATCATATTAGTGTATCTTCCAATTTCTATTGCTAGTCTATGAGATGATGTCCAGAATCTTAAAAAAGAAAAGTGAAATTTATTTTCATTGATTAAGTCAAGGTACAATTCTTATTCATTATTGTGCTTAAATACGGTACATGCACTGTTATATGCCAATTATCTAAGCTATGGACCAAGCAGTTTAAAACAGGTATTTCTACATTTCTAAACAAAAAACAACAACAACAAAACAAACAAGATCCAGTTTTTACTCCTAGCTTTAAATATGTTTAAACATGCTTTCTGATAATGTTATACATGTATAAGTATTAATGTTTGGACTACTGTACAGTACAATAAAGTTAAAATCATTACCTGAGTGAAGCGTCTCACAAGACATGTTTTACCAACACCTGCCTCACCAACCAGTACTATCTTAAACAAGTATTTGTAATCCTCCATCCTGCAAACAGTGAACATAAAGTAGTCAAAATATTAAATCAACAATAAATATAATCATGCATACATAATAATCAATTCATGCCTATAAAATGATAGACTTACAGCACATTTTACATTGAAAATAGAATAGAAAATTATAAACTAGAAAGAAACAGAGATGATGAAATAAAAAAACAACAACAACAAATAACAATGTGTTTTTATCTTTTAACTCTTATTATTGCACTCTGACGGCCTTAGTCCTTTTTGAAAATGGTAATTCATCTACCTAATCAGTCATTTCTTTATAATTTCAGGGTTCGAATTTAAGCTGGCATACTGGCAAAATGCCAGTTAAAATCTAATAATGCCAGTAAAAATTACACTAGCTGGCATTTATTTGCAAGTTACTGTTTATTTCGGACATAATTGCTATCTTCTGAGCTGATGATGATGCTTAGCAACTGCCCGCTGCAGAAACTGATGATGTTTAATGAGCCAGATGCAGTTACTGATGACGTTTACCTTAAAAACCAATTTTTGGTTGCTCTATTTATTTTTTCTGTGACTATATTTTGATGGACTATTTATAACAGCCAAACACTATAGTATGGTTAGAGCATCCAAGATGTTTTATCAGGGTCCAATGTAAATGTGTAGCACTCCTCTTTAAAGTGTTTAATTTTAAGCTGAAACATTTATTTATTTTAAGTAGATCAGTACCTCTGAGTTTTCAGGCTGTTGGCAGGGCTCTACAAATCCTATAGTCCTACGTCCGGGACAACTCTAAAACCACTTGGGACAACTGACAATAAGCAGAAAGTTAGTCCCGGACAAGTCAAATTTTGACAGATGCTTATCTTGGACAACTGTAAAATAATGTTTATTAATACGACCCTTCACAGCATGGTGCGCCGGTAATCTTCGCCTGAGGCAATCAATCTCAGCAGTTGCTACCTTGATTAATTTTACATTGCCACAGGCAATAAAAATAGATAAGACACTAAATGTTTGATAGAAATCTTAAAGACAAAGTCCAACATTATTATAGACATGTCAAAAAC